AAGAGCTCTATTTCCGGTTCATTTGGGAGTTTCTGATTGGTCGATGGACCAAAACAGAGGTGTGTTTTGTGATGTAAGGTGTTATTAAAAAGTCAAGGAAAAAGATTAAGATTGTTTAAGAACAGACAGAAGATATTATGAAGAACTCAGACTTCATGGAGTCAATTCTCTAGTATCTTGCTGTAAAAGTTAAACATGACATTTCTTTTTCAGTAAACTTGCAGTTGACCGAAACTTGAACTTTGACCAACTTACACACTTGCTCATTGAAGACAGAAAATCAGACAATGCATCATTAACCTGATTTCTACTTTGAATGAGGATTAACAATCATTATTACTGTTTCACAGTTGATTTAAAAATGAGTAGTTCACTTCAACATTTAAACATTGTTTGAACTAACACAATTTGATTATCAAAACATTTGTAAAATAGTAATGATAATAGAAAAGAGAGTTCTTTTACTTGATCAATTCAAGAAAGAAAGTCTCAGGATGGGTCAACCTGTATTTCTGGATTCAAATCAATGAAATGACAGTTTCTGTCCCATAAGGTCCTTAAGGTCAGGACTTGACCTCAGGCCTAGTTCACTACAATACCAAAAACAAGCCATGCATTTGCACAGCTGTCACTGAACCCACTGTTGCTGACAGACACCGCCCCCCACTTCATTTGTAAGCACATCTTACCTTCAGCTGTAAAAATGTAGGTAAGTAAGTACTCAACATTTTTCTGTACACTTTTGGGGAGGGGTCTCCAAAAAGAGTCTTGTTTTGTACGCTCGTGAAAAAATTGAAATCTGTGAATCGCCCTTAACTTGATCACAAAGAAATCCCTAGAACTTCACACAATCAACACAAATGAGGGGAAAAACTTAACTCACCAGATGAACATAGGGTACAAAGTATCCATAGAGGGCTGCAGGTATACCAAAAGCCCAGATGCGATAACCCACAGACTTCCAGATGTTCCCATTGAATATCGAACTCATGCGGAAACTTCCGGATCGAGAATTGGTGGGTTTGACCGGTAGCAGGGGTCTGTAGGTGAAGCTGGCCAGCATCAGCACAAACATGAAGATGCAGAGAATACGCATGGTGTTCTGCAGGCCCACTTTGCTAAGAAGGCCGGACAGGACGAAGGGCAGGGTGATGGTGAAGATGCTGCTGCCAGCTGTCACGATGCCGTTCACCAAACCCAGGCGCTTCTTGAAGTAGTGACCCAGTATGACGAGACTGGGCTGGTAGGCAAAGGAGCAGCCGCAGGCAAACACAATGCCATAGGTGAAGTACATAACACCAAGAGACCTACGAACAAAAAAAACAGAGATACCACAGTGTTGAATCTGGGCTGCCATTATCCAGCCGTTATGAAGTGGAGTTCTCAGTAAATGTTCTGAACAATCATTATCTTCCATGTTGTAGACAGTTCTTTGAAAGGCCTTGGTTTAAAGAATTATAATATTATTATGAAAGGACTGGTAGGTGGAGCACTTCTACTGCAGCCTGGGGTCACTTCTATCAGCAATTTAATACAAGTATACATTTATAACTAATAAATAGCTAATATTTAGTTGTTAATGAGCTGGAAACACTTAATGAACCATTAATAAGCAGTTATAGTGCATTAGATAAAAAGTTGAGTTAAGATGGATAAAAAGGACAATTATAAATTCAGACAATTATGATTTCTGCTTCAGTGTATAAATACCGTCACTTTCAGACTATAAGCCGCTACTTTTTTCACACGCTTTGAACCCTTAAACAGTGCTGCGGCTAATTTATGGATTTTCTATTTGATGGGCTAACAAGCTTCACGCTGCCAAAACATTTAGCCTTGTCACACCCAGGAGTTCACAGAGCTGCCCAATACACGTCTCTCTTGGGGGGTGGGTCCTCGTGAATCAATGAGACTACCTGTAGAAATAAAGGTTAATACAAAATCTGACCAATGAAATTACCGAACAGGTCACAGCGAGAAGCGGGGGTGGATTTTGTTTCCACCCCTCCCCGTTCTCTCCTCCTCTCCCTGAAATATTTGCGAAATAAGTGTGAACCATGCATTATGTGGCACTCTGAGCTTGGTGGGAGGCTTGGATAATTGGAGGATCACCAGTGGGTTTCGAAAGGCAGCTGTGTGATGAAGAGGACAGCAGAGCAGTGCGCAGAAGGAAGATGAAGATAGTGATCAATTACTTCTTTGTAGGATACTGTATTGTTATTTTTAACCAGCCGTGTTACAGGCATTATTCAGAAAAAACTTTTACTGTATATATTTGTGCATGTTACTGGTACCTAGTCAACTAAAAGTTTTAAAAATCTTTCTGTGTGCATATCTCATGTTACAACATGGACACCTGTGACTTATACACAAGTGCGGCCTATGTACAAAATATTTTTAATTTTTTAATTTAGTGAGTGCGGCTTAGGGCAGCACGGTGGCGCAACTGGTAGAGCTGCTGCTGCCTCTCAGAGAGCAGGTCCTCGGTTCAAATCCCGGTCCGGGGGCCTTTCTAGGTGGAGTTTGCATGTTCTCTCTGCGCATTTGTGGGTTTTGGGTTTTCTCCGGGTACTCCGGTTTCCTCCCACAGTCCAAAAACATGCATGTTAGGCTGATTGGTAACTCTAAATTGTCCCTCGATGAGAGAGAGAGTGACTGGTTGTTTGTCTCGTTTGTCTCTATGTGTCCCTGTGAAGGACTAGAGACCTGTCCAGGGTGTACCCCGCCCCTTGCACAGTGATTTCTGGACATGGGCACCGGCGACCCCCGTGAACCAAAATGGAAGAAGCGGGCAAAAGATAATGGATGAATGGATGGATGGGTGCGGTTTATATTCAGGTATGTTCAATAGTCCAGAAGTTATGGTATTTACTAATGTTTATTATATTTTTATAAAGTGTTTACAATCTCAACACTTGCTCTTGTCAAGGGCGGACATCTCCTCCTCTCTCTCTCCACTTTGTTTTTGCTCTTTCTGTCTGTGAAACTGCTTTAGAGCCTCTCTTCTACAAATCATCCAAATCATAACTATGGACTTGGATTTGGTCAGTTGGTCCCTCAACACAATTGATAACATTTATTTGAAGAGAAGACAGGCTTTAGGTGAGCCGATTTGCCCTGATGGCACGCACACAGCTGGATATCTCATCGACTTGGAAGACTTGAAGTCTATCTCTGCTGTAATCTGTGGATTTTAAGGACACATTTATAATTGAATTTATGATAACTGGTTCCTGCTTTTTGGATTTGGCTGGTTCCTGGTCTATCAACAAACAAGGAAGTTGTTTGCAGCAAATCTGACCTGGTCAGGCTGCCTGCCTTATATGATGGCTTGGTTCGTGCCTCGAGCACCCAGACTCTTGGCAGAATGGATCAGATCTTGGGGATTATTCTCAGGCACGTTTCATTGGTATGGTCATTTAATTTGGACGTTTCGGAACAGAGGACTGACACAGATTCAAGGTAGATGTCATTAAAGTTCTGCCTGTCCCCAAAACAATTGTGTTTATATGAATTCAGCTCCCCGACTGGCCTTGACAGGCCATTTTATCTCAACCCTCCTGGAAAGTTTTGTAAACCTGATGCTCTAATCCCTCCCTCCACCTCTTACGGAGGAATTTCCATGGACTTTTCAGAGGAGTCCAGCTGAATAAACATTCTGTCATCATTTCAGGACTCGGGATTCGTCTCTGGTCGTCAACGGCACCCCCCCGAGTGTGCACGGATCTCTCCAGAGGGAACTATTTGAACTGAGTGATTTTATCTGAACTATGCAGTGCCTCTGCGTGTTGCCTCTGGCTGTTCATCACCCTTTTGTCCCCCAGTGTCGGCATCATTATGTGCTCATGTGCGAGATTTTTTTTTCATTATCGCACTGTTGACCTTCAAATAGAGGTTAAGAGCGTGTTAGGATTTTTTTTTAATCTCCAAACCCTATGTTTTATTTTTCACCACTTTTTATTGTCTGTCCAAACAGGTCTCACTTGTAAATGAGTCTTTGAGGCTCAATTTGACTTATCTGTTTAAATAAAGGTTGAATTAATTAAAAAATCATTAATGAACTTTTCTGAAGGTACCCTTATTGTAAAATGGTAGCAGAATGTTATGTTAATTGATGAAACAGCTATGTAATACAATGCAAAACTGACAGCAATGTAACAGTTCTAATAAAAGCATTTGTAGTTTTAAAAATTTGACTTGTTTAAACATGTATGCAGAAGCAACTTCACTCTGTAGTCACAAACTGATAGAGATTTGTTCAAGAAGAGTCACTACAAAGACACAAATTAATGTTTAAAATGTCTTCAGTCATGGGCATTTCCAAAGAATTCATTCAAATGTCATAAATCTTTAATACATTATAGTCCTTTTTGCATTATGTGGTAATCCATCCATCTTTACCTGCTTCTCCGTGTGTCATCACGAGGGTGATGGTGGCCCGTAATCAATAAGCGTTCAGTTTTGAGAGTGTTATGAAATTCTTGCCAGCTCATTAGGATTCAAGTGTTTTGACTTTTTTTTGTAACTTTTAAACTTTTCAAAATATTTGATTTTATTTGCAAATATATTTCTCATAAATAGGCTCTCTTCAAATCCTTCATAAAAATTGTTCTCTTTGAAACCTGCTTCAGAAAATTGTTTTTGTTTTCTTCTGTTGCTTTTAGTTTGAAGTTACCATACTGCTACTTTTAGCTTTTATCTATATCTTAGCTATCACCTAATAATGTTCCATGTTTTTAAATCCAGCCAAGACTGAGCTTTAAACTGAGTTTCAGAGTCCTGAGTAGAGTAAACAATCTGAGTTTGAGCTTTAACGCCACAGAACAAATTGATTTACATGCTTAATCATCCTCAGCAGAACCTGGCTGTCAGCCAGCTCGTGGGCAGGTGAAACTCTGACAGTTCTATTTTATATAGGCTTCGCCATTTAAGGCTATTGCTAGTGGGTTTTACCTTTGTGTGCAGCGCAGCACTGAAAACACTAGTCCACGCCCACCTACTGTATGGGCCCTGCCCCCGGTCTGTATAAACTGCTCTGAGATCGGGGTTCAGTTCCCTATTTTCCTTCAGCAAGCAGTAAGCAAGCACCAAGAACTCTAAAGAGCAGAAGATGTCCAGCTGAGTCATTCGCCTGTGTTTGGCCTGTGGGATGCGGTTTATGCTCAGCTCCAACCTGCATGCCATTTGCAAAGATTGTCTCGGAGTGGAACACATGGGTCAAGCCCTGACACTGCAGGCTTCATGCCTGTGCTGTAAGCTTCTCTTGCGCAAGGGGAAGCGACGCCAGGTGGCCAATTTTGCTCCAGATGAGGGACATTTCCAGTTTTCAGTGAGCTACCTGCTGGACAAGGCCCTCGACTTCTTCGATGCGAAGGCAGGATTCTGACTTTCTGCCTCCGATGACGACTTAATTTTCAGCATCGCTCCCCACTCCCAGGTGGGAGGGCCAGAGCTGCCAGCGGCAGGTGCACCTCCAGGCATCAGGTTGGCAACCACCTCCCTCTGAGTGATCAATGCGCCTGTGCACGCTTTGTCTGACATAATTCAGAAAGTGATAAAAGCCAGAGATCTTGATTGTTTCTGAGCAACTGGCCCCACTTCCTCCAAAATGAACTGGCAGGAAGGTTTGCCACCCCGCACTATGGCTGCCAAGACCCAGTCTGGCCCCAGTTCCCAGCCGTGAGGGTGCACCTGGCGGAAACAGCAGTCGACCCAACTGAAGCTGAAAGCACCTGCATCCACCTACACACCCATCTCGAAGGTGGAGGAGCTCACTGACAAGGGGTTCCTCCTTGTGCCACCTCTGGAGCCAAGTCTGATGGCTGTTTTTGGGGTCAGGATGGGCCAGCACGTTGGACGATGGCCCACCCCCTCATCCTCCTGCGATCAGCCCACAGCCAGACACATGGACCAAATGCATCAGTGCTCATCTCAGGCAGACGCAGTGACAAACAATGTGGCCATGCTGGCTTTTAGCATGTCCAAAAATGCCAAGGAGCGGGATCTTTCATCGGAGGAACAGAACGAGTTCTGTAATGCAACTGACACCATTTTGAACTTATGCGGTGCTCAGGCAGTCTGCGCGTCCCGCATCCTTTCCTGGGCGACTGTCCTCCAGCGTCAGATGTGGCTCCACCTCTCTCTCTCTATCCCTGAAGAGATGAAAAAACAGCTGCTGGAGGGGCCCATAAGTCCGGACGGACTGTTCAGCCCCCATTTCTAGTCTGTGTTGGATCAGATGCAATTTTCTTCAGATGCGCTGGAACAAGTGGTGCGGCCTCATCTGGACCCCAGTCTCTCATGCTCC